CACCCCCCACCCGCCGAGCGAGGGCGACGACATCTGCACACCTCCAGAGATCCAGCGCACACGTCGGGCGGATGGAGCAGGCAAAGACGTGAAGTCGGAGGGCGGATAAGGTGGACTGGGGGGTCAGGCCCTCCCAGAGAGTAACTAGCACAAGGTCGGCTCTTGAAGCAGAAAGAAGCGCTGGAGATAGATGGAAATCTGGGTATCCAGATGTGTGTATATATGTATGTGTATTGATATATGTATATATATATATACGTGCAACGGCCGCGTGTATTGAAACACATCGCACTATCTACTTTCACCGGCCGCGTGTATTTAATTGAGAAACATCGAGGCGGAGGCTTCCCGCCTTTTTTCTGCCTCTGGAGGCCCTCGCCGGGCCCTGAAGACCGTACAAAAAACGACTCGGGATCAAAACACGGGCCCCGGGGAAGGGATCGATACTTGGGGAGACGCCGAATTGCTAGAATCAGGGCATCGGGCACTTGGGTACCCGTTGCCAATAGCCAGGCCCATCCTTGGCCCATGAGCTGCGTATATGAGTCGAAGCTCAAACCGGGGAGAGATCGGACCGGGACAAATCAGAGATCTCGGAGATCTCCGAGATCCGGCAGTTCTGGAGGATCTGTCGGGTGCCGCGCTGGGCCACCTCAGACCCCCAGCCGGCTCCCACTGCCCCCTCCCACTCCCCCGCATGTCATCTCGCCGGCTCTTGCGCATCTACGCTGGCCGACGCTGGCTGACGCTACATCGACGCCAATGCGACGCTAGATCGGCCATTGATAAACACCACAATGTGACGCTAGATCGGCCAATGTGACGTTAGATCGCTTCATCGATCATCACACGCCAGCGCACCCTGATCCACTCTTCAAGACGGACTGCCGAGGACACGCGAGGCCCCCCCTGCTTGGCTGCCCACGCCACTCTCTGGGGAGACCGCCGGGTACCCAGGCCGCTGCGCCCCGGCTCCTCTCCCGGGGTGCGTTCTGGCCGTCCTGTCGTGGCGAACCCGGCCGTGGCGACGCGAGGGCCTCCCGGGGGGCCCAAGGAGAGGCGCCACCAACACCAACAGGGCGAGGAGATGCGCGGAGGCAAGGGGGGTCTACCTAGCGGTGTGGTCCCTCTCGCTCGAAACATCCCCAGTCTCTCGCGCGGGGAGGCATCGTGGACCTCCTCGCTGGAGATAAGCCCCCTGGGAGGGGGTTGGTATCGCTTCTCCTCGCTGCGATCCCAGGAGGCCCAAGAAGGGGACAGCGAGGGAGGGGCGGCGGTTGGGGTGCCTCTTTCGCCACCGGCTCCCGCTTCCCTCCCTCGGGGCTCGCCGACGGAATCCCCATGCGCCCCCCGAGGCGGACGACGACGGGCCCCGAGAGCCCCGCCAGCAGCGAGCGGCGGGCGCCGCGCCGCGGCGCTCCCATATGAAGTAGGCGCCGCGCGCCGGCGGCTGGGGTGTGCTACGTTCTGGGCATCGGGGCGCTGGGCGCTCGCAGTGGCTGAGCATCGTTTAGTGGGACGCAATGCGACTGCGACACGTCCTCCCTGGAGGCGTGCGTCCGACCCGGACATCTAGTACTACACACGCTGCTCTCATCGTACTTCAGGACCACATCCCATAAATAATTTCGAGCACCCAGAAAGAGTGTCGAAACGGTGTCGAAATAGTATCGCCTCCCGGGGCCCGGCACGTGAAACCCCTCCAATTTCGGTACTTTCTTGGTGCTCGAAATTCTTTCAGCTGGTCCAAGCTGACGTAGGTCGGAGCCTCATAAAAATAGCAACAGCAAAATCTGGGCGCCCGCCGCGGAGCGTATGCTACAAGACTTCTCGGTGCGCGCGTCGCCCCAGGGGGGAGGAGAGCACACATGGTATTAGTATGCTGGGGGGACGCCAATGTGACCGATCCCTATGGAAGACGAAGCCAGGACGAGGACAAGTTCGGGTGAGGATCGATCGAGAGTCTCTGCTAATCGGCGGCCCTGGAGGTTAGATCGGGCGTCACGCTCTGAGAGCGTTCGGAAGACTCCGGAACGGAGTTATCCTCATCCCAGCCCCGCCCGACTCTGGTTGCGGGATAACCGACCCCTGACTAAATCAAAACATGACTGCCCATGTTGGGCATACATTGACAACTCTCTGTCGCTGCAGGGTTCACGATGAGCGGCGTCTGCATCGCAGAAGTGGGGGGGGGCTGGGAAAGGGCATGTCACTCCTTGCCAAAAATCGTGCCCCGATCTTGGCCGCCGTGATCACCGCGGCGACCTCCAAAAACGACCTAGAAGATAGGTTCCGCACCGGCTATCACAGACCGAGTTCCTCCGATCCCTATCCCCACTGGCGTGACCGGGGCCCCACTGGCCGATTTAAGGACCCCCTTGGATGAAGTAGGCTGTTCCCTTCGGCCTTCGAGGGGCCTTGGGGTGGTGGGCTGGAACCGATGCTGTGTAGTCAACATCTGTAGTAAGGACGCGCTGTAAGGACGCGAGTCCTTGGGCGGTCCTTGGACGCCTCAGTGGAAGCTTCTCTAGTGGCGCACTGTCGATCCAAGCTGAGGACGCACGGGTGCCCACGGGAAGGTTGCCCGTCCTTGCTATGGATGTCCACTGCATGCTGTCCCCGCTCCTGGGCAGACGCGTAGCTGTACGGCCGGGAACTGTTGCTGAGCGCATGGCGGCGCGGCGGCCCCGGCAACGCGCGATCCCCGGCGAGCGGATCGCGTGCCGCCCCGCGCCGCGGAGCGGGAGGCCGGGCAAGGCTCGGGACGCTGGCGCCCGGGAATGGGAACGCGGCCACAGCGTGCCTCGCCGCAGCGAGGTGGGCCAGACCCGGCGGGGCGGCACGCCGAGTCACGGCTCGGGACCGTGCGCGCTGCGGCGACAGCTGTGCGGCAATACGGCGTGTCGTGGCGACTTCGGCGTTAAGTCCCTGCCACCGCGTGGATCGCTCAGGCCTGAACCATCGCGGCGCTCCGAAGGCGCAGGCGGTTGGGGGTTCAGCCTTGAGCGCCCTCGGTTGTGTCGTCGTCGGGAGGAGGCGGGGGAGGAGGGGGAGGAGGGGGAGGAGGAGGAGGAGGAGGAGGAGGAGGAGGAGGAGGAGGAGGAGGAGGAGGAGGAGGAGGAGGAGGAAGAGGAGGAGGACCGACACCGACTGCAGCCAGGCCAAGCATGAGCCCAGGAGCCGTGTGCACCCAGACGCCGGGCCCCTTTGGAAAAGTCGAGGCGGCGGGTCTGTCCCCACTTTTGGCTTCGGGAGGCGGGCTGCGGGCTTCGAGACTGCCATCGGCCACCGGGCCTGCAGCAGGCAGTGGAGCGCCCTGCTGAAGCTCATGCAGCCCTGGGAAGTTCAGAGGTGTAGGGCTTGTGAAACGTTTTGTTTCAAGGCCTGAGCCCCCAGTTTCGCAGGGATATCCAAGGGTTCGTCGGGATTTCGGGGGATTTCTGGGTATTCCCGAGGAGTTCTGGGGATTTCTGTAGATTCCCCAGGATTCCCCAGGCTCGCTGCGCGCATCAGCGGGCCAAACATGGGCCCCCAAAGCGCCAAGAGGGCCGAAGATGCCTCCGAGAAGGCCCAAAAGTGCCTCCACACACCCGAGATGCCCACGACACGGCCCAAAAGGCCCCGAAAACGTCCGAAGAGAGTGTTCAAAGAGCGCCCCAAGAGGGCCCAAAGAGGCAAAACACATTGTTTTCTTTAGGCTTTTGAAAGCTTTTGGCCCTCTCGCCTTTTCGGCTTTCCGACGCTTCAAGACAGCCCACGAAGCCTAAAATCATCCCAAGGCTGTCCCTGCCCCAGGAGGGCCCAACACGGCTCAAGAGGGCCCCAAGACGGCCCAACAGGCGCCCAAGACGGCCCCAAGAGAGGGCCCACATGGAGAACCCGAGCCCTCGGCCCCGAGGGTCCCCCACGAGGCCGCCAAGAGGCCCCCCGAGAGGCCCCGCAAGAGGCCCCCCGAGAGGCCCCCCGAGCGGCCCGCACGAGGCTCCCGAGAGGCCCCCCGTAGAAGCGGCTCCCGAGAGGCCGCCTAGAAGCGGCTCCCGAGAGGCCCCTGAGAGCCCCAAAGAAGCAATGCCTCAGAATTTTTCGACCCGCGACCCGGGCCGGGGGCATCGGACCAGTGCGCGGGCCACCTGGCACGCTTCCCCAAGTGTCGTCTCCCGGTGCGCAGATCGCCTCCAAAACGACGGGGATGGCTTCCAAGAGGCCTCCAAGACGCCTCCAAGACCGCCAAGACGGCCCAGGGGGGCCCAGGATGGCCCCAAGATGCACTCAAGACGGCCCAACGTGCACCCAAGACGGCCCACAATGGCTTCAAAATGGTCCATGACGGCCCAAGAGGTCCCCAAGAGTGTCTCCGCGAAGGCCCGAAGAGGCCCAAATCACTGATTTCCGTTAACATTTGATGGATTTTAGCATTTGCTTCTTGTCAACCTTCCGACGGCCCGAGACGGCCCAACATGCCCCGAACATCGCCCCAGGATCGCACCAGACTCCTCCAAGATGGCCCCAGAATGGCCGAAGAGGCCCCCAAGACGGCCCCAAGAGGGCCCCAAGGCGGCCCAAGAGGTATCTAAGACGCCCAAGATGGCTTCCACGAAGGCCCTGGAGCACCCCAAAAGGGCCCAAAGTCGGCCCAGAGAGGCCACCAAGACGGCTTCCGATGGCGTCAGACGGGTCAGGAACGCCCTAAGACAAGCAAAGAAGCCCCCAAAGGCCACCAAGAGGTCCAAGGAGGCCCCCAAGATGCCTCCAAGAGGCTCCCAGGAAGCTCCCAGGATGCCTCAAGAGTGTCCCCAGAGGCTCTCAAGACGCCCCCACTCCTCCTCTCCCTCCTCCTCCTCCTCCTCCACCTCCTCCTTCTCCTTCTCCTTCACCTCCTCCTCCTCCTCCTCCTCCTCCTCCTCCTTGTCCTCCTTCTCTTCCTCCTCCTCCTCCTGATCCTCAAGGCTCGGGCTCAAGGCCGTTTCCTGCGTCCGCCTCCCGCTTAACGTCTGTTGCGCCTTGAGGTGCGGTGCTGCCATGGCGCCGCGCAAGTAGGCGGTGAAGACTGCGGTTACCAGCACATGCGCTTCTACGTGCCGGAGCATTTGCTGGGCTCCTCGCTTGGTGCACGTATCAATGACTTCGCTCATGCCCTCGGTTTCCCCGTCGACGGGATCGAGTTCGCCATCCTCGACGGCGTCGGAGGAGGGGGTGGAGGACTTGCCTGGGGAGCTGCCGACGCCGCCTCCGCCAGGCATATGGAGTCCTTTCGATGTGGTGGACAAGGAGTTCCACAGCTACAGTCGCACTTCGGTGCTGCATCAGGTGCAGAAGGGGCAGCCAGAGGAGGTGTTGCCAGTGAAGCGCCTGCGGAGGTGGGAACGTCTGGAGGCTGCTTCGGCTTCGGCGTGCCCCCCTCAGGTCCAGCCGCTCTCTTCCTTGGCTCAACCTGTACACATCTGCAGCCGGGCCCCGTGCAGCCCCCGCCGCCGCCAACGGCTACGACGAAGGTGCGGGTTAGTACTTGCGCCGCCGCCTGCTCCTCCGGCGAAGCCCAAGGCCAAGGTGGAAAAGCGACCCCGGAAGCGCAAGAGGAAGAACAAGAAGAAGAAAGACGCCAGGTCGGAGGTAGCCAAGATGGGGCTGAAGGAGTGGCCTCAGCCCCCTCCTGCTGCAGTGTCGGCCCAGGGTGTGGCTACACGGCGCCCGCCGACGCCGCCTCCGCCACTTCCAAAGGCAAGGCCGCGGATGGCGAACGTGCAGCCCCCGCCGACGCCTGCCAGGCTGGTGCGCACGCCGCCGAGGCGGAGGAGATGACGGTGCAGGAGTACTTCATCGGAGATCGCTCGCGGCGTAGGCGACGGGCCGAAAAGAACATAAAAGGCTTTCCTTGGCCATGTTTCCAGATGGCGTGGCTGGGACCACATCTGGCGAAAGCCAAGATAATGAAGTTTTGGTGGATCATGCGGTTTTGGCTGAGCCTTGTGGAGAGGCTCGCTCAGCGTGTCCACCTCTTCCTCTTGAGGCTGAGCCATCCTCGGATAAGGCTCGCCTTTTTGAATCGTCTCAGGCTCTCGAGGATGTTACTACAATTGCGACCTTGACCTGCCATGACACACCCGTGGTGAAAGTGCTTCAGGGTTTGCCTCCTTCGGTTGAGGCACCCCTCCCATTATCTACCGAGGGTGGGTATGTTCATCACAACGTCGGCGTTGCAGATATAGGAGCATTCCAGTCGCTTGGGAATCATACACATCATGTTCGCACGGCTGAGCCTCCTGTTGAGGATCGCCTTGATAGTGTTGGATGTTTGGTTGAGCCTCCAGTTGCCGAGGCTCGCCACGACGGTACCTCAAGGAGTGGCGAGGCCTTTCTCGCTGTCATGCCGACCCTCAGCCAGTCAGTTTGCAGGGATGGGGATCGTGTTGCGGAAGAGCCTCCTTCGGTTGAGGCGCCTCAGGTTGCGATCGCCTGCACCTGTGCGATTGAGGTCGATGGCGGTCTTGATTTGGTGCTTCCCACATCACCTTGTGGGCCTCCCTCGGTTGAGGCAGCCTGTCTTTTGGGGCTGCCTCCTGGGGTCGAGGCGGATGAGGGTGCGACGAATTCGGCGCATTTCGATTTCGACGGCTTCCGCTGTTTTGCGGACGGTGAGCTTGTAATTTCCGAGCTCTGCCTGAAGCCGTGGCTAATTTCCCCTGCCGTCCGCGTGGCTTCGCGGCTGCGCGCTGCAGGGGACTCTACAGCGGCGCGTTTTATGCCTGTAGTTTCTGCTTTACAGTGCGACTCGTCACGTTGATCGTGGGACTGGCACTCGCGGCGCCGCTCGTAGCAGCAGCGCTTGTGGGTGGGTCCGTCGCCTCGTTTTTCCAGCCTGCCTGTCAATCTCTACGGAAGCTTGCCTGTGCAGTCGCATACAGCAAAAAAAAATCCTCCTCATCATCTTCCCCGCCATCCTCCCCCAAGTGTTCCCCGAAGGGCTTCCACGACGGCTGGGGGAACACGTGGCCCGATAGCTTGGCAGATCTCTCGCCACAACGCGCGGCCACAGTGGGCGAGTCCACACGGCAGGCGCCGGCGGCGATTCGCCGTAGGAGTCTTCGGTAAAAAGCGGGTCGTGAGGACGCACAGGCCGGGGGCGAGGGGTCGAGAGGTGCAGGGCCCACGCATCGAACGCATCGAAGCGTCAGATGCTCGCGTGCGCCTGCCCTTGGCGGCGCGCCAAGGGGGGGACGTGAGTGGGGGCGGGCCTTCTCAGAAGGCTCGGCAGTCCCCCAGCCTCCTGAAAAGCTTCCTGAGCTCCCCCCGGAGACGCGGAACACGCTTCTCGGGAGGCGCGAGGGCGGCTGAGAAGCCCCGCCGCCTTCTGAGAAAGGCCATTCTCCTTCTCCCTTCCCCCCCTCCCGCTCGCCGCCGAGGCAGCTCTCTTGGCACCCCGCCTCCCTGCCTCCGCCGAGGCCCCGGTGCCGCAGGCCCCGGCTCTCCCCGCCGCCCCCATGTGCCGGGCCCTCGCCGTGGATACGCCCCCCATCCCCCCCGCCTCTCGCATTCCTCGCTTCCTCCCTCCTCCTCTCTCCCTCCCCTCCTCCCTCCCTCCTCCTCTATCCTCCTCCCTCCCTCCTCTCTCCCTCCTCCCTTCTCCTCCCTCCCTCCTCATCTCTCATTCCTTGCTCCCTCCCTCCTCTTCTCCCCTTCCCCTCCTCCCCGCCTCCTCTCTCCTTCCCCTCCTCCCTCCTCCTCCCCTCCTCCCCTCCTTCCCCTCCTCCCTCCTCCTTCCCCTCTCCGCATCACCGCCATGATTTCGGCACACCCCTCACGCGCCTCGTGGCCCCGTGGCCCCAGAGGGAGCACCACCGAAGGCCCCCAGCAGCACCGTCCACATGTGGGCGTGACTCGCGTTCCGGCACGCACGCCCCTGACACGTTTCGTGGCCCCGCAGGGAGATGCACCGCAGCCCCGAAGGAACCGTCCACATGCTGGTGTCACGCCCGTTTCGGCGCACCCATCACACACGCCTCATGGCCCCGTAGGGAGCTCCACCGAAGGCCCCAGAGGAACCGTCCACATGTGGGCGTCACGCCCGTCTCGGCACACCCCTCGCACTGTTCGTGGCCCCACGGGGAGCTCCACCGAAGGCCCCAGTGGCAGGGACCGCGTGCGTCCCCGCGCCCATGTCGGCACGCTCCGCACACGCCTCGTGGCCCCAGAGGGGGGGCTCCTCCGACGGCGGCAACCACAACGCGGTACTCCCAGCTGCGTAATGCGTCCTTCGCCAGGAGGGTCTTTGCATCAGGCTTGCTCGCCTGGTTTCGGGGATCGGGGCCCCTGTCAAGCCGACGCGGCTCGTGAAGAAACCGACTAAAGAATGACGTCACATGTCCTGGCCGTCGTGCCTCCTCCTGCCTCGCAGCAGGAACAACACCCCCGACGGCTCTTGGCCCTCCTCGTCCTCCAGGGGCTTTTCTGCGGGGCCCAGGGGGGCTCGGGGCGAGACAGACCAGCCCCCCGAGAACCGGTTTCAGCCTCGGGAACACTCCCGACGGTTCCTGGCCCTCCTCGTCCTCCAGGGGCTTCATGCGGGGCCCAGGGGGCTCGGGACGAGGCAAAACAGCCCCCGAGAACCGGCTTCCGCCTCCGGGGGGGGGCCCACGCGGCAAACCAGAAGCGACGTCGGGCTCGAGGCCCTGCCCCCGGCAGGGGGGACGCCCACGCAGCGGCGAATTGCACACACACCACGCTCTGTCCGCCCAGGAGAGCGCCCGTGGAGCCCTCGGTGGTGGTGCATGCCATGCCCTTCCTCTTCCAACTTTCCCCTGCTCCTCGCGCTCTGTCCGCTACCCCTCCTTGAGGGGGGTCGATTGGGTGGACCGGCCCAGAGGGGCACAAGCATCGACCTGGAATCGGCGATACATCGCCAGCAAATCGGCGATAAGCTCTCGATGGCGAAACCGAGCGCTCCTTGTCGGGTTGGGCTCGCAGGCCTCCTATCGGCGATGAGTGTGCGTCCCCCTGGACCTATCCCTTAACGTTGCCCCAGACCCGTTCCCTCTCCGAAGAGCTGTCCCCAGGGGGCGCTGGAAGGGCAGCCTGACTCCGCAAGTCCCAGCAGGGTCCAGAGTCTGGAGCCAGCTCCGCGGAGGGCCACCCCTAGGGAGCCCACAAAAGGGGTGCGCCCAACCACGTACCTCAACACAGCCACCCAATCCGCGAGACCAAGCCGCACCACACGAACGTTCGCGCCACGCGTACCCTCGAAACCACAGCGCATTCTTCATGTACGTGCACGTCCTCGCTGCGCCCCTGAGAGCCCCTGCGAGCGCCCGATGGGGCGCGCGTGGGGCGCGGGTGCGAGAGCGTGTCAGGCTCGAGCCGCGGGCGAGGACGAGGGGTGCAGGAGCGCGAGACGCTGCTTCTGGGGGCCCTCCTGGAGCCGCTCGCTCCACTCGTGCGTCGAGGCCGCGTCGAAGCGGAGCCGAAGCGCACCCGCGTCGAGGCGGCGGCGAACTCGGAGTCGAGGCCGAGTCGAACGGAGACGCCAGGCGGGCCCCCGGGAGGGCCCCCGAAGCGAGCACCGAGGAAGCGCGCGCGAGGGCCCGCCGAGAGGCCTCGGCGAGCCGGCGCGCACACGGAGACATCAACGAGAGCGAGCCCCGCGGGGGGCGCGCGCGCTCCCCCGCAGAGCCGGGCGCCCCCGCAGAGCTCCGCGAGAGGGCAGGCCGCGCAGAGGCGTGCGCGGCAGAGGGGGACGGCGGGGGGAGGAAGACGAGGGGGGTATCCGTCGAGAATCGCTGAGGTCTGGCGTCGTGGATGCCTTGACACTGGACACTCTAGCAATCCGATCATCGAATGCAAGATGTGTTTGAACTGTGTCGAACATGCTTCTGCAAAGGATTCAAACATGTTTCCACGTGTCTAAAACATGTGTGAAACATCTTTTAGACATCTGGAAATGATATGACAGTATGCTTCCTCTCCATTCATCGACTTCCACAAATCTGGCGGCTCTGGGGGATGTTTTTGGCCGCCGCGGCCTCCTCAGAGCGTTTCGGAATTTTAGGACGCCCTGAGAACGTCCTGGAGCACCCTGCAACGGATGCATCCTCGTCCCAGCCCCGCCCGAAGGAGGAAGGTGCAAACGAAGAAAACGCAACAGAAGCAGAAGCGTCCGGAACGCCGCACGGATTCTGTG